TTGAATGGGAGGTAGAGCGCCTCATGATCTGCGGCCATTGTCGTGATGAGTTCGAGTTTTGACTCAGGTACTTGGAACCCGGAAATAGTTCCTTGGATATTCAGGCGCTCTTGAGTAACACTCAGTGAGTTTATGTGGACTGTGGTCCTCGAGTTCGGAGATCGTTGTTCCGCAACCAAATACCAGAAGGCCCACCAGTTCGTCTGCCGACATTGAATAATTGGCAAGCATTTTGTGGATATTTTACATTTTACAAAACAATAGAATGGAATGGAATGTAAAACTTTTTCCCGTGCCAAGTGAAGAATTCTCTATCAGCTGATATGTAGCAGAAAATTGCATCTTTATTAGAAATATTTTATTTGTGTCCAAAAAAGTTATCATTCTCTCCCCATGGGTAGGGTAACTATGATGTTTCTTATAAACTCCTTTGGTTTGTGAACAATGAACATGTTAATCAAGCAAGCACCATAGTAGGGGGACTATGATAGTTTTTGGAAGTTGAAAAAAAAAATGAAGATAAAACAAGTAGGTACCTACAGTATATTTTTCTGCACATAACATTTCACCTGGAGGAACGTCGTTCCGCGCATACCTGGAAGTAAACAGGCGGAGGTAAACAGGTCGCACTTCTGATAGTGATACACTGAACAGTGAACATGGTACCATGTGCCACACGGTTCACAGCCTTCCCATTTCACCTTTTTTGCTCTGCTTGCTCCTGGGAGCACTTGTTGCCAGCCCCACTCACAGCTCAACAGCCACTCTTGCTGGGATATTTGGTCCCCTCTTCTTTCCTTTTGCAGCTGGCTTTTAGAGGTCTTGCAGACGACTGGTCACTGACTCATTCAGCATAGACGTAGGCTCTTTCCCACACGTCCCAGGCAAGCGCTTCAGAGCCTTGGTTGGTAAATATCCCCGTGGCCCTGAAGCCTGCTACCAGGTTCTCCCGTGGCATCTGGGCACATAGCTTGCTCACCAGTGATGGCAGCACTGCTTTTAGAATGCTGGTCTTTGTCTTGGCCTCCTTCCTCCAGTCTTCCATCGCCTTGCGTCACACCCGCTTGGCTGGGCCAAACACACTGACATTCAGTGGCTGCAGTAATGTGTTGAGTTTGGCACGACATAGACGAAGATGATGTTGTTCTCCATGCAAGCTTCCAGTGCTAGAACAGTGGTCGCTACCGGTTGGGTACAGCAGAACAGTGGCCGGACCGCTTGGGTACAGCAGAACAGTGGTCGCTACCGCTTGGGTACAGCAGAACAGTGGTCGCTACCGGTTGGGTACAGCAGAACAGTGGTCGCTACCGGTTGGGTACAGCAGAACAGTGGCCGGACCGCTTGGGTACAGCAGAACAGTGGTCGCTACCGCTTGGGTACAACAGAACAGTGGCCGCTACCGCTTGGGTACAGCAGTAGTGGCCGGACCGCTTGGGTACAGCAGAACAGTGGTCGCTACCGCTTGGGTACAGCAGAACAGTGGTCGCTACCGCTTGGGTACAGCAGAACAGTGGTCGCTACCGGTTGGGTACAGCAGAACAGTGGTCGCTACCGGTTGGGTACAGCAGTAGTGGCCGGACCGCTTGGGTACAGCAGAACAGTGGTCGCTACCGGTTGGGTACAGCAGAACAGTGGTCGCTACCGGTTGGGTACAACAGAACAGTGGCCGCTACCGCTTGGGTACAGCAGTAGTGGCCGGACCGCTTGGGATGCACTACGACGCAGACGTACGAGCATGCTTCACGGCGCGGGCCGTCAGCTTTTCACCATCATCGATGCCAAAATCTCTTTGCAGGTAAACACCCATTCCGTTGATGCTACATACAACCGAACTCAAGGTTAAAAACACTGTGGCAGGCTGTGAAAAAGGATGAGCGCGTTGCGACGTACTTGTGCTGCAGCGAAGCGCCCTCCTTCCACAACTTCCACACACAAAGCGTAGCGCCCCTCTCCGCACGGGCAGGGGGCGTTTCCAGATCTCGAGACGACTGGGTCGATTGCGCTCAAATTTGGTATGCGGTTAGGCACCGGTTGGTAGGGTGCCGTGCAAAAGTCACTTTGGACCCAGCTTACACATGCGCAAGTGCGGGGTGCTGGTTCAGATCTCAGGAACGGCTGGGCCGATTGCCTTCGAATTTGGCACACCTGCCCTTCTCTCGCAGTCGAGTGCCATGGCTTCCGGGCGACTGTCTGACACTTGCACGTCTGAAAACATAACAACGAATTAGAAACAAGAAGAAAATACGACGTACAATCGCATGACAGACGATAATTACCAAATTATAATCGACCAGGAAATCAGCCAATGCTATACTGCTCGTGCCGCATATACCTACCAGTAACTTTAAAGTCAAGCAATTGACAATGAAAACCCCTGGGTTGAAACAAACGCCTGATCTGCATGGTCATGCTGATGCAAGCCACTCACTCATGTCACGTGGTCCGACAGACTCTGTCGCGTGACGTGTGGTGGCACCTCTTGTTGGCATTGAGGGCAGACGGCTGGCGCCTCGGAGATCAGCTGAAGCAGCTCAGGCTCATTCAGCGCCGGGTCATCGGCCACTTCGGAGATGTCAGTGACCTCTGGCTCTTCATCTGCTACGGCACTAGGGTCGTCCGCCGCCTCCTGGTCGACGTTTCTGTAAAGGCGGCCGCACACTAGGCCATTCGGCGGGCGACATTCCGCAAAAACGCAATTCCGTAGCGACATTACGCTTTCGTGGACGCCGAATCAGCTGCCGAAACGACAAAATTACCAGCCGACCGCTGCCAGCCAGCTGTCCGCGGGTAGAGTGCGCATGCGCGCGGACAGCCGCGGAGTTGCGGAAAAAGCTGGACCGGTTCAGCTTTTTCCGCGGCGACGCCGCGGACACCCGAAATTGTGGAACTTGAAACTCACCAACTATTGATGGAGCAGCCGAGAAATAGACTTACTTGATAAAGTCTTGGATAAAGTATCGTAGCGGCACTTCTTTCCCCAGTATTAGATTGTATTTGTTTTATACACTTCATTGGTTATTCTAATAGCAGGTTGCTATGTGCCTCTCCACGATTGTCTTTAGGTTTCTTGCATTTGTCGACAAACACGGTTGTTTACATTAATCACGAGCTTTATTTTTTTGCAACTTCCTCCAGAAATTATGTCACATTAATAGATATTCAAAACTTTATTGTACAGAAATATAGCATAATCGCATTAAATGAGCAAATATTATACTTGCTTAAATGTATTTAGTTTGCATTCGTTTATATTTATCATAAAATATTTCACATAAAGTTCCTGAAAATACTAAGTAGAAAATCGCACCGCCGAATGGTCCCGTAAACTGCTGAAAACAAGCGGAAAGCCGCTGTAGGAATGTCGCCCGCGACATTCCGCTTTTGCGGAATCTCGCCCGCCGAATGGCCCAGTGTGCGGCCACCTTTAGACAGTTTCGGATCGTGCATGCAATCGTGTTGCGATGATTTTACATACGGACAAGCATATGATGGGTAATTGCTATATTTTTCTACTATAATTACTATATAAATTACTAACAATGTGAAAATTACTATATTGGGTGTGGCATCAAGCGTCATTTATCATAAAGAACAAAGGCGACATAACCGAGCAAACTGATCATACCAAATACTATTGGAAAAGGAATCACGAGAAAACACTCAAAATGTCTAGATAAACATACAGTTCTTCCAGCATCTCCGCCTCTGCCAAGTCCCGTCCAGGAGTTGGTGCAGTGGTACCCGGCGTGAAAGAGAAGTCGCTGAAGACAGGCGAGTACGGAATGGTGTTCTCAGTCGGCTCGACAGTAGCCACCGATGACCTGTTGGAGGGAATACCCATTTTACATTTGTGACCAATATCGCATCGCGTGTCACAAGAGTGCCCGTCTGCGGTAACATATGCCCCCCCCCCCACTGGGGCGAAGGTTAATCCCAATAAATTGTCACTCGTTTCCACTTTGCTTCTTGACGGCAACAACTGGACTTGCATACCCCGAGGTCGATCTGGCAATCCACGTCTTATTGGTAGTGTAGAGGAACCTTGTATGGCGTGGATGCCACTGACGGCTGACCTGAATGCAGCATGTGCATTAAGCTCTTCACTTACCCATTGTCCTTGCTGCCCTTTGCAAACAACTACAGATACTGATTGCGGATGTCTTCTTAGGCTCTCTTCACAGCCACGTGCATCTGACGGCTCTGAATCGACGCCTGCATCTTCTGATCAGCTCGTGCAGCAGCGCCGGTTTCTCGTTACCCAGTCTCAGGGCTGGGGCGCGGCGAACAGTTGTCAGCCCTAAACCACAGATGGTCATCTGCCGGCCCTGTAGTATTTAGTATTTAAACACAGAGCGAGGTGATTGGCCAAGATCGGGGACCTCCTCGAGACCGATGGATGGTACACGTCTGGCGTCGGCGAAGACCCGTGATCTTCTACCGGTTCCCCTGTTGGGGATGAATCGAGCAGAGCTAGTACTTCCTCAAGTTCCTGCTATAGAGCAGGCTCGAAGCTTTTTGAATACGCAGTGCACACTCGCGATTGGTCAACACGGTATCACAACACACCGACCGTTCTGGTGTATACCACATCAATTTTGCTTCAATGATACTGATGAAAGGCTACGCCACTTGGCTGTGATAAGGTATAAAGTGCCACACTGGATCTCAATGAGAGGGAATGATCAATGATGGAATGGTTTCACATATCTAGCTCCAGGATGTGGTCCAGCGAGACACCAGCATACTTCGGCAGCTGCCAGTCATAGCTTCATCATGAGTATGGCGGCTCGCGTTAGCTCATGTGTGGCATCTGACTTCCTGTAGTAGGTGCGGTGAACATTCTTGTCGTGTCCCACGTGTCTCGTGAGGATTTCCATAAGGATGGGTGTTTCACTGCAAAGAGATTTTGGCATCGATGATGGTGAAAAGCTGACGGCCCGCGCCGTGAAGCATGCTCGTACGTCTGTGTCGTAGTGCATCCCAAGCGGTCCGGCCACTACTGCTGTGTGTCGCGTCCCGGCCGCCCCGCTTCATCCTGTTGATGGCGACTTCATCTTGCATGGCATCGTTCGTCACGTCAGGGCGATAACCTGCAGGAGAGCAAACACCACATAGGATACACTGTTTTGTTGTCATTAGACTTAACCCACTACAGCGGGGGAGGGGAGGATAGATCTCGAAAACTACGCAACGTACCGACAGCGTCAGCGACAATGACAGTTTGTAGATATTGTTGGGCCGTAGATGCTGTGTTTGTAGATCTTTACCTTGTTTCGATCTTGTTGACATTTTGTAGATCTTTGTAAATCTTTTTGAACGTCCGGAGCACACTAACATTTTCCTGATCTGCTGACAAATATTATAGCCGGTATGCTTAATTGAGTGCGTCACTGTATCCCAGCTTAACCTTCGCCCTGGTGTGGGGGGTCATTTTGCCCCGCTTCGGGGAAGTGCTGACCCGAAAAACGGACATTTTTATTCGGTGACCTCTGGTGACTTAGCTTTTGACCTGACCGAAAAAAATGACCGAAGTACTTTCGAACGTACTTGTTATGGGCTTTCGTTTGCTTTTGTCGCGTCTTCCTAGCTCCCTCCGTTTTCGAGTTAGCGAGCTAGAAGGGGTCATTTTGACCCCACCACCACCACCACCACCACCACCACCACCACCACCACCACCACCACCACCACCACCACCACCACCACCACCACCACCACCACCAGGGCGAAGGACTGTCTCAGACCCCCACCCGGGCGAGGGTTATAGGTGGCTACACTGATAAATAAAAACAAACGGTGGAACTGTTTTGGTCTTTGTGTGAGACGTAAAAAGCAACTGTATGGATAATTCTGGGACACCTTGCACATACATCAGTCCGTCTTCGAACCATGGAGCGGTTTGTGTCAATCACATAGAAATACATATAATTACTAACAAATAACGATTGCAAACTTGCATAGCCATACCTTTCAAGGCCGAGATGTTCAACTTCTGCCGTTTCGCGTGGTACGCTTGCCTGTATTCTTCAACAGACGTGCTCGTTGACCTCTTCCTTTCGTTTCTAAACTTACTCTGCAGCTTCTTGCTCAGGAAGTTCTGAGGTCATACATAAGGGCAGGAAGCTGTAGGTAATAGGCATGTTTGGATTTTGCGTCATATGTGTCAAAGTTGTGCAGCGACTTATTAGCCTCACACGGGAGGGGGGGGGGCTTAGAGCCGCCCGGGATGATATCAGACACTGTTGAATGACACTGTTCTATCGGCCGAGAATAAAAATAGCTTGAATTTCGATTAGAAGATTTATAATCGCGCTAATCGTTTAGTTCTCTGATTGGATCAATGCGGATTAGTGAAATAAGGGATTAGGGTAAGTACAGCCAGCTGACCATAAATTGCGATAATAATAAATTGCGTTTATTATAAGCTGATAGAATGGAGCCATTCGAACCCCAATCCACTTATAGACACGAGCTCCGTGAGAACAGGTCTGGGTAAAACAGGATAGGACTGGGTAAACATACATAAAAACGCATTTCTTTGCAGTAGGGGAGAGTGGGGTAAGATGCCCAGGGTGGGAAAGACGCCCCACCCCCTCTAGCGGGGAAACAAAGAATCGAACCTGGAAATGAATGTTCTTAGCGTAAAGCGGAAGCCTGCCTTGTTAACTGCACAAAAATTTGCGAAGCTCAGTTGGGCAACGGCTGGCTGGTGATTGCATGTTTTTTATTTGCTGCTTTCAAAAAATATTTTGGCGTCAAATCATTGTAAATATCAAAGAAGGTAGATAATTTTTGCGTCCCTTGCTATAGTCGTGATACATTAACATGCGTGTACTGTGTCCCAAACAGTTTGTTTCAGGGTGTAGTTTTATGGCTAACAAATTGTGCTGATTTAATGTTACTTCGGTACCTTGGGGTAAGATGCCCCCTGTCCTGATGGGGAAAGACGCCCCCCTAAATCCGTAGGCTGTCCTTCAAGCAGCCCGTCAAATCATTTATTACATACTTGTGATGAGAGACAAAAGCCGACCTGGGACTATTGAGAGTCCGGTACGGTCGGGTGCTCCCATGCCGGTCTCTCGGCCCACACAGCGACTTTTTGGGCGGCATCTAACTCTGAGAGCCCTCACGACGGCCTCTGTGGGCCCCATTATTGGTTCCAGGGCCCCTCACGACATCCTTGGAGGGCTCCCACGTTGGCTCCACGGGCCGCGCTGGCATCTGAGGTCCCCACGATGGGCTTGAGGGCCCTTAAGCATCATGAAGACCTATAAGGGCCCCACAGTGGTCTCCGAACGCCACCACGGCACAGTGATGCAAATGGGGTTCACGAGTGGCCATAAATACGAAAAAGGTCCAAAATTCAAGTTCACTTAATCGAATAAATCGTAATATGGTCAGTCAGGCAAATGTTTGGGGTGTCTGAAAAAGTATGATTTTAATGTTTTTGTCAAAGCCGGCCTCGTGTATGATTGTCAGAAGTCGAGACATTTTCGATGTCGTAAAATGACTGTCAGGTACTTGAAATTCAAGTGCCGCTGGCGTGCGTTCATGTCACACAAACTGCAAAAATTATACATGAAAATGATCCCCGAAACCTGCTGCTTCTAATGCCACGTCATAAAAAGCCGTATCTATTTTGGTTTGGCGGTGAGCTAACTATTTGTAATCATGTTGCAACCGCAGTTTTTTACCAAAAATATTTGCTTTCAATTCACCTACAGCACTTCACACAGTGTGTGCCCGTTAGTGCACCATATCATAGCATTCCCTAATCATTTCTGAGTCGCACAGTGAAAGAATTAAGGCGCTAGCACAGGGCTGACCGGCGCTACAGAAGTTTTCGTCCGGCACGGTCGGGTGCCGTGGCGCGGCCCGGGTGGCCGCGCCGCCGCGCCGCCCGGACGCCGCGCGACGGCACCCACCCGCCCACTACGCGCCCACTGCGGCGCCCGACCGCCCGGACAAAAACCTCTGTAGCGCCGGTCAGCCCTGTGCTAGCACCTTAATTCTTTCACGATGCGACTCAGAAATGATTAGGGAAGGCTATGGTATGGTGGACTAACGGGCACACACTGTGTTAAGTGCTGTAGGTGAAACGAAAGCATTTTTTTTCTTAGTAAAAAACTGCGATTGCAACATGATGATAAATAGTCAGATTACCGCCAAAGCGAATGAGATACGGCTTTTTGTGACCCGGCATTAGAAGCAGAAGGCTTTGGGGATCATTCCCATGCATATTTTTTTTCAATTTGTACGAAATGAACGCAAACCAGCGGCGTTTGAACTTGCGAGTGTCTGACCGTCATTTTACGACCTAGAAAATGTCACGACTTCTGACGATAATACACGAGGCCGGTTTTGACAAAAACATGAACACCATGTGATTTCAGATGCCCCAAACATTTGCCTACTCGGCCATATCGCAATTAACTCGATTTGGTAAACTTGACTTTTGGGTATTTATGGCCACTCGTGAACCCCATTTGCATCACTGTGCACGGAGGCTTGCTTGGCCACGCTGGACTATGATGGCCCCACAGGGGAGCAATGCCGCTTCAACCCCATTGGCCGTAGTGTCTAACGGTGGCGGCCATATTGCGCAGACCAGAAACCGGCTGCCGCCTGTGTTGAGGAATAGGGAATTCGGGACCTCGATTTACGTTTGCGGCCGCCGTATCCGTTACGTTCAAGTTACGTAGATACGGAACCCGGCGTCTTACGCAGAATTGAGTGGGGAACACGATCGTATCTTCAGAATTCCTCAAATTCACTCGCCTGACCTACATTTGCCCCGGCCGAGGGGGTTGATTGAACCCACCTCGCTAATGCACCGCTAATTTAACTAGAATTAAGCGGTAAAGTGGTCGTATGCGGCAAAGTATAATGCAGAGTGACTGGTAAGAACCCGCTGTAAGGGTCTCAGGTCAACCGGTGACCTCTGAGGTCAGGTCAAGTGATCTAAGGCACGGGTTCGGTTTTTGGTAAATAACTTCGCCAAAAATGGCCGTAGAGCCGCGATTTTGGCATCATCGTGTTCAGCTAGCTCAGGCGCATCGAGTGATATACTTTTTGTTCGGGTCAGGTCAACTTAGGGTGTTGACCTCAGGTCAAGGTCAGGTCAGCACCCCCAGGTCACGAAGTTGGTCGAAAGAGGTCATGTCGCATATCATTCGATTCGGCAGGTCTTCCTGAGTCCATTGGTGGCTTTCCCGACTCGCTAGCTCAATTTGATCGGGAGTTATTGAAGAAAAATGGTGACCCTTGTGACGTCACAAATGACGTCACGCAAGGGCAACAATGCAAATATGAAGCATAGAACCTTGCAAAGAGTGCATGAAATCATGATTTTATATGCTTGAGATAGTTCCAGATCATTCTCGGCGCCAAAATAACAATTTTCATATTTCCCCATTGACTTATAAGGGTTTAACGTATTAGTTCCTTATAGCTGATGATTTTTTAGGATTTCATCTTGTTCTCCACTCAATTCTGCGTAAGATGCTGGGTTCCGTGTCCACATAGCTTGAGCGTAACGGATGCAGCAACCGCAAACGTAAATCGAGGTCCCGAATTCCCTATTCCCCAGCACAGGCGGCGGCCGCTTTCTGGTCTGCGCAACATGGCGGCACCGTTGGACACCATTTGGCGGCCGATGCGCATTCCACATTATAGAGTTCAGTGGATGGCCCTAACGATGACCTCTGAAGCCCCTTACGACTACTTTTGAGGGCCCTTACGATGACGTTTGGTGTCTACTGCAGGCTCGAAGGGACTACTGATTCGTTCAGGCGATTCACGTGCCTATTTTTGTCACTTATAGTGCAGGGGGCATCTTACCCAACGCCAGGGGGCGTCTTTTCCACCCTGTGGGGTAAGATTCCCCCTTTCACTTTTTCAGGAAAATGCTTAATAGCAAAAAAGTTATCATGTTTCAGGCACGAAAGTGTGATATTTTTGGAGAAAAATGATGTCGGCTTCCGTTGAAACTCCAAGTTTTGGCTTTCCGATCGTCATTTTCGAATAATATATGACTTAGTCAAACCCTGGGCATCTTTCCCCACTCTCCCCTAACCTTGGCTGATTTTTTGCCCCACTGGACATAGCTTACCTTTGACGAGGAGACGGCCAGGTCATGCTCATGACATATGGTTGGATACTGGTCCAGGATTTCGCCAGCAAGGCGATCGTAGCGGGCAGGATAGCTTGTAGGTACAATCCCGGTATGTAGTAACGCAAGCTATTGCTATTTTAGCAGCTCGTCTGTCAAACATTGTTATTGTTCGAGTCTAGGTGAGTTCTTCATGAGGCATGAGAATTGAGATGTGAAAAATATTCAATTCTAGTAAGGACATTAGCAGTGACTGCTTAAGTGTTTACCCTTCAGTCTACCATGTTGGCTTCACATGCTGCATATCAAGGCCGAGATGTTGTAATAAGCAAGGAACTTGAATTAGGGGTCATTTTTACCTTTTCGCCACCTCCTGACAGTTAAACCGGCTTAAACAAGTGGAAAACTTTTTGCTGGAAAAGTCGCCTGGATTCCTGGAAAAGGCATATGAACCCACTCCCCGACAAAGTGATTGAGTCGAAATCCATCACTTACGGATTGTCGTGCGTTGCCGTGTATTCGTCGTATACAGCTTGCGTGATGCAGCCCCAGTCGGCGTGGTCCAGACGCTCGGCGTTCTGCAGTTTTTCTTTCACGCGCCTTGTCAGTCTGACACTGAACACATGTGAAGACAGCATGATTTCCTTCAACACACTTGACTTGGAAATACTGCTTGAGATGGGGTCAAGGGTGATCGCAGGCTGGTTGCTCTGCTCATCTTCAGAGGATGAACTCGTGCCGACATCATCAACCTCTCTCTCTCTCTCTCTCTCTCTCTCTCTCTCTCTCTCTCTCTCTCTCTCTCTCTCTCTCTCTCTCTCTCTCTCTCTCTCTCTCTCTCTCTCTCTCTCTCTCTCTCTCTCTTCTTGCACGCCACGGGGCGGGCCCCCTAGGGGGCCGCCGCGGGAGCACGTCGACGGGGTCTCGGCGCGCCCCACTCCTCGGAGAAACTCCGTGATTTTATTGGCCGGCTCCTGGAAGATTTCACGGAGTGTTGGCGTAAAACCCCAGAGCCGGCCTCGGGTGCGGGAGTATGCGGGACACTCCGTTAGTAGGTGCTCGACGCTATCGGGCTCGGAGCAGGCAGGGCAGCGGTCGTCTTCCGCCAGCTCCAGCCGTAGCAGCGTATCCCGGGTGAGTGGCGAACATCCGGTACGCAGTTGGGAGACCGTGACCGACTCCCAGCGCGTCATCTCGTCGTGCCCCGGGGTGGCAGCCGGGAACGGGTGGGCGTCTCGGGCGCGGGCGCGCGCCATCTCCACGGCGTGGCGCCTGATCGCTCCGCGGGCGCTGGCCAGGTCGACGGCCACCCGTGCCTGGTCTTCGGTTGCGGCCTCCGCCGCCAGGCGGTCCGCAGCCTCGTTCCCAGTCACTCCCGCGTGGCCCGGGGCCCACTGGAACACGATCTGGTGGTCACCGTCCTCCAGCTCGTGGATGAGGCGCCAGACTTCGGTGGCGAGAGCCGACGTCTGGGCCTCCGGGCCCCGTCGCAGTAGCTGCAGGCCTGACATGGAGTCGGTGAGGAGGCGAATTCTTCGGGTCTGCGCGCGTTCCTCGGCGTCGAGGTTGGCGACCACCGCAAGAGCCTCCTTGATGGCCGTCAGCTCGGCCCTCAGGCTATTGCAGATTCCGCCTGCGGGGGCGCGCACCTCCACCTTCCTGTCCAGTCGGTGGAGTTCGATAAGCGCGCCCGCGCCTCCGTTTCGGGTGCCGCCCCCCGCCGATCCGTCCGACCAGATGGTCACATCCGTCGGTGGTAGCTCGGCGATGGCGCGTAGCGCCGCCTCCCTTCTTTTGTCCGGTGGGTCCGTCTTCTTGGTTGCAGTCGGTAGGCTGACCACGAAGCGGACCGCTCCGCTGCCAGGGCGCCAGGGCGGTCGGCACCGGTGGAGGCTCAGCGGCTCCGCAGGGAGGGACGCCAGCTCAGCTCCCTCGGCCATCCACCGGCCGACTCTGCGCAGGCATGGTTTGTGCGTCAGGGTGGCGTCTTCATCCGGCGGTTTCGGTAGTGGGCGGCGCCCGGCTGCAGCCTCTGAGCACGCTCTAGTCCACGCCTCATGGGCTCGGTACTTGAGGCGTGGCGGCGGGCACGTCAGCATCAGGGTTCGGGCTGGTTCGTTCTCTGGGAGGCGTACCATCCGCTGGTACTCGATGCCAGCAAGTTGCTTGGACCTCACCGTCAGGGGAAGAAGGTCGGCTTCCGCGGTGAGTGCGCCTGTCCTGATCAGTCGGATGCACCCGGTGATCAGTCGAGAGCACTTGTTTTGCTCCGCCTCAAGCTGCTCCCTTACCGCCGGTGCGCAGTGGGTTCCGAAGACAGCGGCGCCGTAGTCGTACAGGGCTCGGATGTACCCGATATACGCCGTTCTGAGGGTTCTTCGGTGGCTGCCGTACGACTTGCCGGTGAGGGCTTGCAGGCACTGTCTGTCTTCTCTGGGCCATTTTCTTCTTCACAGCATCAACCTCCAAATGCAGGTCGAGGTTGGCGTAAATTGTAAGGAAAACATTATTGACCTAGTTCGGTTTGTCAAACCGAACTGCCTTGAGCTTGCAGTTCCAGGCAGTAAAACATGCGGTATTCAAAATATGAAAATAGCCTTGTTATGCAAATGCAGAAGCAATATGCACCAATCCCATCTTCTTTTTCTGCCACCCGTATTTTATGTGCTGAGTATTGGAGTCGGAGCCGCCGGGGCCGCCGGAGCCGGACCATTTTACCCGAAGCCGGAGCTAATTCTAGGATGACCTTCCTTCGGGGTTCTGATTTTGATCTCATTGGGTTTGTGGCTTTCCTTAGATTGACTCGCCAGACCTCCACCACGGTCTGGCGAGTGGTCCGCTCTTCGATAACTGCCTGCTCCAGGCGGACCACCGCACCGTGAAGTGCGGCGTTCTCCCCCTGGACTTTGGCCACCACTTTGCTCAGTGAGGCCACCTCCTGGCGAAGGGCGGCCAGGTTTTCACGCACATCTGTCATCTCCATCTGGAACGCAGAATTACAGTTTTTTTTTTTACGTTTCTGCTAATCATAAAAAGGTGACAAATTACATAGGAGTGTTGTGTCGTACGCATTACGCCATGTCATGCAGCGTCGTGTCCAATCACGTCAAAACGACATGTCATATCGTTGGAGGCTTCACATTGGAGCTTCATTGGAGGCTTCACATCATCAACCTCCAAATGCAGATCCCATCTGTCTTGCTCTTCCGTGGACATCCTAAATGCTGGTCATTATCATTGAAATAAACCTCAACTTCAAATCACGTAATAGCAATGTGTGCTCACGTGATATCAATGCAAACCGCGCTACAGTAAACTTTTTGCTTCGAAATAAAAGTAACGATTAACGGATTAACGGACTAAATTTTAACGATTAACGGAGCCGAAAAGTAACAGAACTAAAAGGGTCCGTTACACGTGGAAAAAATTAGCGAGTCCGTTAATCGTTAACCCAAAATTTAGTTCCGCTAATTAACGGATTAGCGATTTAACGGACTTGCCCACCTATGCAGAGTTGTTGTTGCGTTGAAAGCAAATGTATCAAATAGATTCGATTCAACGCGACAGCAACTCAGTTCCAATGGCAGCTTTGAAGGAGCTCACTGATTACACGAAACGTCATTAGTGTGACGTCATCATATAACGTCAGCTCGCGAAATGCGCTGGCAGCGCGCTACTAGCGGCCGTGAAACACCGCTTAGGACACAAACCTGAGCGTTACCGACGACGCACGTTGTGACTATCCAACCTTTACGTTAGTTTTGAGTTGAAATAGTCAAATTGGGTTTCCTGGTTCGCAATTACTTATTTGGGGACTTGCAACATCGATAAATGCCTTAATTCGGATCTATATATTATTAAAGTCTGCAGCACTCGAATTTTAAGGGGCAAAATCATTCGAAGTTAAAGGCACATTCAAATGATTTTACCCCTTTAGGATTCGAGTGCTGCAGACTTAGAAAATAAATATTTCCGAATTTAGGCATTTCTCGGTGTTGTGAGTGCCCAAGCCGGTAATTGCGGGCTAGGAAACCCAAGTTGACTATGGGTGACTAGCGATTTTCCTGTCCACGCCTTCACTTTAGCAGAGCCTGCACTTTACGCAGGAGCCTGTTAGGCAGCTGCGGCCCACCATTGATGCCCAGAACATATCGGTATAGGAATGCTGAGGCGTACCTCAGGGCGCGGCCCCCACAGCCCCCCGCCGGGAGCTTCTGCTGGAGTGCCGGGAAGGCCAGGGCCCAGGCCAGGGCTTGTTCCACTTTCCCCATGGTGAGAGGGATGCTGATACACTCTACAACCAGCTTTGGGCCGTCTTCCTTGGTCTCTTCGATGAAGGGCGCCGAAGACGGCCTGATGTCGGCGCCGTCCAGTTCTTCAAGGAGCTCTCGCATCAGTCCGTCCTCTGGGAAAAGACCGCCTCATGTCAATTGTAAGCATTCATTGATCAGCAAATTATTACTTTAACCCGCGACCCGCTGGGGCTCCTGGATTTCCATGCCCTGACGACATGTCGAAGGTTAAGGTTAGGCCAAATGTCAGCGCACCAGAGGTCATCTAAGGTAAAGTTTTGCAAATTTCTAGGTCTAACTTTGACAATTTTACACAAACCGGCGCATATCTCAGGAACTGAATACCGATAGAACTACAGCGCCGCAGAAAAGCGCATTCAATTGCTCTTTTAACGGTTTTTCGCTAATAAGTCCTTAGATTTGACCTGAGTCAATAGTTAAAGCCTGCAGGGGACAAAAACTGCCAAAATGGACGTTTTTTTTTGTTGAAACAGCTTTTCTGCAATAACTCTGACTCAAAAGTTGCACGAGCTTAATTTTACCAGGATCGTGTTCCTCTCGTCGAGATGCATCGAATGAGCTCTATAGTTTAACCTTGAAAGGTCACCTTAAAGAAAGGACCACAGGTCAAGACCATGGCCTGACCGGAAAAGGTCGTGTTGCACATAATTCGATACATATGATCAAGCTGAGCACATCTAAGGTGTTTTCATTGCTCTAGCATGTATCTATCAAAAGTCATTAGCGAAAAACTGTTGCATATCCTCCGTGACCTGAGATGACCTCAAGTTCATAAGGAGGGGTCACGGGTGCCATTTTCCGGTTCAAAGTGTCATGTCGTCTTTCCCCGTGTACTGTCACCCCATGTTTCGTGCATTACACACTTGTCATATGCAATTTTCACAGCACAAACACACATGTAACTTACCCATCTTCAGACACGACGAAAAATAGGGCCTCACGCACCAGACCTCACGCAACTCGCGCAACGGTACACTGACATACAATACCAAACTGCACCCTCAGCCGGTACGCGCGAAACTGCCGGAAACTGGCGTCGGCGGCGTCGACCACGCCGAGATTCAGCCAATCAGCGAGCAGAATGGCAAACTCATCCATGGATTGGTAATAGAGGTGGCAAAAGATGAAAATTTTGGGAACCAGACTCGAACCAGACCCGGCTGGACATTTCTGAAACCAGTCGGACCCGGTCTTAGCTGGAACCGGAACCAGTTGGACCCGTTCCCCAAAAGTCAATTAATTCAAACTACTTGTAGGTATCATTAGTTGCATCATTTAAAACAGCCTATTTCTCACTGG